CGAAAACCGTGACCACGAAACCGTGAATCGAACCGAACCGTGGATTTTGTGAACCGTCCCACCCCTAGTTAGCGCTCAGCCTGCAGCCACACAGAGAAGCTCATGCAAAAGGTCACAGTCACAGTGCGGATTGAAACGTATCTCCAATCGTCTGGGGAGCTGTGACCGTTTCCCCCGTTGCCTCCATTGAGCGGGACGAGCGTGTGACAGCCCGGATTAAGATCCTGGGAGGCAGGCGTGTTGTGGAGGCTGCTTCCACACCGTTTAGCTCTGGCCTCATCCTCTTTTAAAAGACTCCGGCTTTAAAATGTATGAGCCTCCGTCCCGCTGAGCTGAAACTCACTTCAGCCTATGAGTGGGTTAGTCACAGCTCCAGGTCCCTATGAGGATGTCATTCCAATGGGAATGACAACCGCTTTTGCGTTAGTCCGCAAAGAACCTGAACGTATAGAACCAGTCATTCCGGTCATCTAGCCATGCTACACCACGCCTAAGACAATCCAGACTGTTTTCATGGGTTGTTCCAAGATGGAGGAATGACCTACCAGGTGCTAAAAGAACAACAGCTTCCCTTTCTATCTTTAGAAAACTCTCAAAGACCCACCTCTTCAAAGAGCATCTCTTATCCTGACTCTTACCCAGACCGCTCTACCCCCCTACTACTCTTTCTCCTCCTTCTTTCTCTCTTGCTCCCACCACTGATTCTGACTGGGGATTTTCCTCTAGAGAACTTATTGTCATGTTGATAACTGTAAAAATTGTGTCTACTTTGTAAGTCGCTTTGGATAAAAGCATCTGCTAAATGTGTAAACATTAAACTTAAAAGGATCTCGCTGGGCGTTTTTGTTGCAGAGTCCTGTAGAAAAATCTAAAAGATTTGGGTTTAGTTTTGGAAAGATCCAGGTTTTCCTGGTTTTCCAGATGTTCAGCTTATCGGCCGGTATGAGTTAACACTGGGAAGGCCGACCCCCTTCCCACAAAGAGGCTCTAAAGTCTCTGGGATGCTGTGAACAGAAGGCTATATGAGCAACATTTTAATTCAGATTCGAGTGGAGACGCTCGAATACCAGCAGGGTTTTTATTATAAAATATTGAGGATATATCGCTTTGCCTTCACTCCAGTTGTTTGAACGGCGAGGAAAAAAACAAACAAACTCTGCGGTGGACATTCACAGAAGGAAAATCTGGGTGGGGAAAAAAGAAGCTCCTCTACATGAATGGCTTTGATCTCTAGAAATATCAGGAAGTTGTATAATATCTGTCAAAAAACTGACGAGTCATGAGTTCAGCATTAGCAAAAGTCCAAAGCCGAGTCATTTTAATCGGATTTGCGAAGCTGCTTCTGTCTTTTAAAGCTCTCCTCACCCAGCCATCTTATCGTATTCACCTGTTCTGGATTCAAATCAAAGACAGAAGTGGAAACCCGAATCGGTAAACAGATGTGTTCGCTCTGAAAGCCAAACTGTACTTTGCAATCTAATTTGTGCCTCCAATCAATTCCAAGCGGTTAAACTAAACAAGGCCCCATTGATCCTGTGAGCTGGAGACAATTTTAATTTCAGGGAGGACAGAGGAAAGGAACGGTTTTATGGTTTCTTTGTGTTTGTAGCGGTGGCAGAAAACCTTTAAGCATCCGTCTGGATCTTTTGATGTTCCCCCTGTGCTTGAAAGCCGACATCAGACGGAGGTTTGATTGCCTCTGGACCATTTCCTCTCATTGCAGCTTCCTTTTTCTCCCTCTCTCTGAGTGTAATTGCAGGGAGAGACAGCCACCGAGAAGCCGGCGAGTCGGGCTTTTAATCCTCCCGAACCTCGCAGAGGATTTCTCGGTTTGAGGAGTTTCGACTGCTTTTTCTTATCGCCCGTTATCACAGACTCAGAAGTTTTGATCTCCTCCATCTTTTGCTCAGCTGTGGGATGACAAATCTGCTTTTTCTGTGTCTCCCTTTGGCTCTTTTCAGCCCCGTTTCCCCCCAAAAAACCCGAAGCGATTCCCTCTGGTCTTCGTGCCGTTTCTGTTTTAAGGCCAAAGCTGTAGCTGTAAAACTCGGTTGCTTCCCCCGGTGTTACGAAGGGGCCAGCAGCTCGCTTTTTCAACCCACTGATTTCATTTCACACTCGCTGCTGCCAAACGCCGAACACAGCGCGGTTCAGCTCTGCCGAGCATCTCAGCCACAGCGAATACCTTTGGTTTCAAATCAGAAGGGCTCAGATCATTCTGGGTTTATACCAAATGCGAACAGTTATTGATCGATATATGTCTGTTACAATCTAAACGTCTAATAGCACTTTTCTGGAAGAAACTATCAGGCACTGGGTCAGACAAATGTTGATAACTTTGCCCCTGGAACGTATAACATATATCCTAAAAGGAAAAGGTGATTTATTTGAAAACATATGGAGACCCTTTATGACTTTTTTGGAAGGTATAGACTTTTCTGAAGACCACGAGGACAATTAAGTAATACCAGCTTGGAAATCTGGTTGATATCAGAGCCTTTGTAACCGGTTTGTGTCTCTTGCTAAAAAAAGTGTATAAGTATTCAAATGCAGATGTGTGTCTGAGAGGGTGTTTTTTTATGGTATGGTTCTTGTACTTGTTTATACAGTATGTATAATTGTTGAAAAGGATAAAAACATTGGTGGAAAAGAAGGGCTCAGACTCTAAGAGGGAGGGGACGAATGGGAAAAACACACCTGTGGAACAAAGCTGGAGACCTCAGTTGACACGTTTTCCCTCCAAAACCGGAACGCCGCCGACTGGATTGGAGGCAGAAGGTCGGATTTCCGGTTTGCTTTGCGGCGAACCGGATTTCCGCGGTGAATCTCTTTAAGCGTCTTTATTCCCACGTAAAAAGCGACGCTCTGAATTCCTCTGGAAGCGTTTGATATCAGGGTTTTTCTGTGGTTCGGTCGACCTACTTTCCCACCAGCCTCTTCTTCTAAACCCCCCCCCCCACCACCACCACCACCCCACTATCCTCTGCTAGGGAATTCGGTTCTGGTTTTATGGATGCAGAATTTAGAGCGTGTAATTTCACGCGTCCTCTCGGTTTATGCCCCGCTTGTAACCGCTGCGCAATTACATTTGATGCTCTCCTCACGCAGCAGCGTTGTCCCTGATGATAAAATAAACATGTGTTTTTTTATTTATCCCAGAGCCGCTCACCACCTCGGAGGGTGTGGAAAACAGCGGGAAGTTTACTGGAGCGTATATATTTGCGTCCATGTGTGAAAATGTCGGCGGTTTTGCTGATTCACGATCCTCTCCATCTCTGTTGGATGATATTGAGCTGAGGTTTTGACACTCAAAACGCGGCTTCTCTCTTATTTGTCTTTATGAGACTTCTTGATCTGGACTAAGTTGGCCCGTCACATTTTTCCAGTCCATTCACGATAAGCTGAACCCAAATCTTCCTCTTTGACCATCATCGTTTCTTGGTTTGAGCTCTCTGTTATTTACAGGTCCTCGTGTGTATTTTTTAAACCAGAATCAAATCTACGAACCTTAAAATCCAAACAAACGTAAATAAATTGTATTTTTTCTCAAGTTTTGTCTATGTGTCCAGTCCCCACCAACAGAATAATTTTATCTATGAAAACATTTTAAAATAGGCTATTCATTGAAGGTGTGCCTTATAGGCATTTTCCGATCCAGCTTTTCCCAGCCTATCAGAGCATGTGTTAAAGTCTAAAGTTATTTATTCTACTTACTTAGTTGTCAGAATCATGTTGAACAGGGATTTACTCTGATAACAACCTAGTGGTTAGGACACAGACCTGTGGGTTAGCAGATGCTAATGCTAATGCTAACGCTCGTGTGGGATCGGAATTAAATTTTTACAAATATCGGCGGCCGATCCAATCCAAATATCGGATCGGGACCATTCTAGTGCCCTATAATCCGGTTTGATATGTTATGTATTCTTTTAATAAAGTCTGACCAACTTTCTTTAGCATAGCTGCATCTGGTGGATGCTAACGCAGCCCCAGATTCTACTGGAGCTTCTATTCTATGCGCTTTATATATGAAAACATTTTTGAAATAGGCTATTCATTGAAGGTTCGCTTTATAGGGAGGTCCCGATCCAGCTTTTTGCATTTCCGATACCGATTCCGGCCTATCAGAGCAAGTTATTTATCTACTTACTTAGTTGTCAGACTCATGTTGAACAGGGATTTACTCTGATAACAACTTAATGGTTAGGACACAGACCTGTGGGTTAGGAGATGCTAATGCTAATGCGGATCGGGACCATTCTAGCGCCCTATAATCCGGTTTAATATGTTAACATGTTACTGACCGGGTTCCCTCTGCCCCCCCTGAAGGGTCCCGGCCCCGGCTGGAGGACGCGGCCCCCCGGATCGTGGAGCACCCGTCCGACCTGATCGTGTCCAAAGGGGAGCCGGCCACCCTCAACTGCAAAGCGGAGGGGCGGCCCTCCCCGACGGTGGAGTGGTACAAGGACGGGGAGCGCGTGGAGACGGCCCGCGACGACCCGCGGTCGCACCGCATGCTGCTGCCCAGCGGCTCGCTCTTCTTCCTGCGCATCGTGCACGGCCGGAGGAGCAAACCGGACGAGGGCGTGTACGTGTGCGTGGCCCGGAACTACCTGGGCGAGGCGCTCAGCCGCAACGCGTCGCTGGAGGTGGCAAGTAAGTGCCGTTAGAAATGTTATCGAGCTGGATTATTAAGATAAGGTAAACATCTGTTCAGTATTTTAACTCATTGACTGCCAGCCATTTTCAGAACAGAGTCCCATACTGCCAGAGTTTTTGGAGCATTTTGACTGATTTTTCAAGAGCTACAGAATAGTTTGTGCTAT